TCAGGCAGATTCTGGGCTTGGCTCTTGAGCACTTGGGTTTTGCAACAAACCCCCAGAGCTCAGCTGTCGACATCTCTCATGGTACCGTGCGTGGCCAAATTTCTGAACAAGCTCTGCTGAAAACGTAGCCAGCAGCAGTTGCTTTCCCTCCACGAACTCCCTGACACACCAAACCCTCCCGGAGCCTGGGGCCCGGCCCATGCTTTCGGCCTGCATCCAGCACCAACCTCCAGCAGCCTAGTGCTCCTTGAAAGAAGTTCAAAGGAGAGGCAGAGGAAGGAGAAGGAAGAGGGGCAGTGGAGAAAGATGAGTCACAGGGGAAGTCTGCATTTCCTGCGGATCTGAAAAATCACTGCTTAATTGGATCAGCACAGCCACAAGTGGTGGTATCTGAGATAAAACTCATCTTGCTCTGTAAGAGTTATAAACCCATTAGGAGATAAGGATCCAAATACTTCTGGGACAGCCCCAGCTTTGACCAGGACACCTTCTAAACTATTTTCTGACCTGTATAAAAGATGTTCATCCCAAACCTGCTCCCAAATACAGAGAAGCACAACAATCCCTATGAAGTGGCACAGAGCAACTTCACTCTGGGGGACAAGATGTCTAAAAGAGACACAACTATCTGAAATGCCAATAAGTAGCAACCCTATGTGGCTCAGTATGAGCCAGAACTCCTGGGTCATCTTCTTGACCTTCCCTTTATAATTTCTATATAATTTTGTCTAAGTGCTTTTGTCTGCACTGCACTGCATTTTATTTTCTCATCCAAAAATGTATCTGCATGTCAAAAACAGGAGGGAATATAGCATCTTCTCATCACACTATAGGCCTCACTCAAAATATTCAAAGTGTCATAAGTTACTATTTGAAAAAATATCTAGCAATTTAAAACAGGGAAGAAAAAGGAAGGAATGCAAATGACCCAACTGCTTTTCTGCCTTGTACTGACATGAGTGCATCAGTGTGCAGGCAGTGTAAAGCATCATGAAAGGCTTATCACCTTTCAGACCTTTCAGTAGAGCTGAAGGGAATGGAGAGAGAAGGAGGTTTTCCTGCAATGCAGAACTTTCTCTGAGATGATAATGAATCTCTCAGTCTCCTCAGAACGGCTCAGTGCTTCTCTGACTACAGCATACTTTGCAGCTTATTACAAACTGTGACCTTGCTTGGCAAGCTATAGTTCTGGTAATGAGTCCAGCCGCTGGTAAAAGGCATATTTTCTGAATATTCCTATCTTGCAAAACATACAAGGTCTTAGAAGCTTGAAAAAGAGATTAGCATAAGCAGAACCTTAAATCCTGGAGCTATGTAAAAAGGCACACCAAAGCATTTGGATCAGCAGTGGCTGGGGAGTTCTCTTTTTTGCACGGGCTAAAGAGGACAACGAAGGTGAGAATAGCAGCACGGTGTGTGCCTGGAGCAGCAAGGAGGGAGGAGAAGCCTGTAGATCATCCCAATTTCTAACATAAGTAGGAAAAAAAAACAGCAAGAAGGAGATTATCATTTATTGTACTTCCCCATCAGGCACCCTGCATTTCTGTAAGACTGAGATGAAGAGCTGAGACTGTCCTATTTTGAGCGCTCCTGTTCTATAACTAGTACTGGCTATCTATCATCAAAAATTTCAAAGAAACAAAATAAAATTCTGCCTCAGGAAAAAAAAAAACTATCTAAACTCTCAGGAAAGTTTTCCAAGGAGGTTCCATGAAGCCAGGATTTTTCTTAGTGAGTATGCTCGCCAAAAAGCTAGCATAGTGGATAAAGTCATATTAAGTTTCTCACTGAGTTGCCTCTTCCTTGCCCTCTTTTACTAAGAGGGTTCCCAGATGGCTCTGGGGGGCTCCCAGAGGCTAAGGCTCCCAGATGGCTAAGAAATGCAGTAACTGAATGATTGAAGTGTTTTGGTTAAGGAGTCAGGAGGTTGAACCTTGCAGGCAACTTGTATCTGAGCTTTGCCAGAGGATGAGCTATCTGAGCTGAGAGGCAAGTGTTGCAAGACACAAGGTAACATCACCTTTCCTTAGCTTGTCACTGGACAAGGAATACTGGAAATGTTGTAATCACGGGAAACTAGGGGCACATGAAAGTCTCAGACTGTGCAGAAGGATAGCACGAAGCATTTGTAATGGTTCTGCGAATGCAAAATCCAAGACTGTACAGAATGGCTGTTTATCTCACCCCATCCTCCCCTTCCAACTGCTACTCTCTCACCCTGAAAGGAAGGATCTAGCATATAGAGGAGCATCATGTCAGTGTCTGGTAGAAAAGGGCCTGCAACAAGCAGGCCCATCTCAACTCAAATGCACATCTTTGAGCTTTCGAAGTGCTTCGCTTTTGGGGCTGCGATAAACACGATTGAGCATGCTGCTGTTGCAACTCAGCACAGTCAGACAGAGAGGAGACAACAATACTTAAGGCCCTTGCTGAGGTATTTTGATTCTGTTTCAGCCCCTACTCTGCTATTGGCATCCTATAGGCTTCTGGGCAAATAAGGAGCTGCGTAGCAGACTCAAGTCCTTCTGTTCTAAACATCCTAAAACACCTGAATTGGGATTTCAATTCAGATATGTATCTGCAAGACTACAAGGAGAATATCTGCTTTAAGCAGATCAGAAGCCGAATTAATTGATCAAAGATCCATTTCATAAGAATTAAGAAATTAAGATGATTGACACTGTTGTCCAGATTTTGAGGAATTTCAGCCAAATTCTCTTTGCCTCCTTTCTAAGTCAAACATGTAACCTCTACCTCCTGGATATCTTACAAACATGCAAGGCATGTCCCTAACTAGGGAACAAGGTACCCTGAATTTCAACCGAATGCAGCTAAAAGACTGCAGAAAACGTCCACTGGCATCAGCATGAACAGTCCCACTGACATTCTGACCAAAGAGATGGACTCTCTGATGACCATGAAATCCAATGTCATTCTGCTAGACAAATTCCCTTCAGGGCATAGGTGAAACCTAACAGTGAGAGATCTTCACTACTCATGGCACAGAGAGATGAGAGAGATGGTCTGGGGCTGACAAATCAAAATTTCTTGTCAATTAAAAAAAAAAAAAAGAATTCTTGCTGCTTTTCCTGATAGCAAATAGAGGAGAAAATGAAAATTGGATTAGGTCTACTTTAAGGTAGATTAATAAACTAGAGATAGTATATTAAAAAATAGCTTAACTGATACAAAAGTGGAGCAATTGCTAAAAAAATCTACAAAAATAAAAGGAGGGCAGGAGCCTGGAAACCTGATTTTGAAGCAGCTGTGAATGCTTCATTTTTAAAGCACTGTCTAATGTGTGCCTGCTTTCAAACACTGTGTTGCCAATAGAAGCCTGTTTCTGCACGTGAAAGCATTAAATTTTTCAGAGATAAGCAACCAAGCTGATGTATACCGAATCATTGTACAATCTCACTTCCATGTTTTACAGCATAAACATTCATCAAGAGTTTATCCAGCCATTGTCACCCATGGTGACATGAGTCTTGCAGCTCCCACTAGAACAAGTCAAATTTATCCTCCTCCCATCTCCTCTAAAAACAACCATTCCTAAAGGGTGCCTCAGCTTCCTCATGCTTCATCTGTAGGACATCAAGTCACACAAATATGTTAAGCCTATGAAAAGCACAGCCAGAATTTGTGAGGGGGTTTTGAAAGCAAGTCAGGTGTTGAACTTTCTGCGCTGAGTTTCAGTCAGCATATTGTAGGCTGTTGTGAAGCTAGGGGCAATGTGTGCTCCTACATCATCCAGAAGAGAGCTCTAATTGCTCAGCAGTGCTCACCTTTTTTTTCGCCCTCCCCAAATAAAGGAATCCCCCAACCATACAGTTAGTGGGAAGAGCTGGATGGGGTAAGACCTGAATGCACCGAGAGAGATCATTTCCTTTTCAGAGTGGAAAGAGCAAAGCTGTTACGGGGCAACACGCAAGACTGCACCAGGAGGAAGCCTAGGAAACCCATGTATCTGTGCCTCATTTCAGCATGAGGGACACCCCTGCCCGTTGTCAAGCCATGCTTTGCCAACTCCTCAGAATATTTTCTCCAGCAGACCAATGTAATTCCCTCTACCCTTGCTGGTGTCAGCACTGAACTGCAACCAGATGGTCTGCTTCCACCCTCCCCTTGCTGCCAATCATGGGCATGGTGACACCCATGTCTGAGGAGAGGAAGACATGAGAGACTGCCATCAAACCATTCTCCCCCAGTGGCTTGATACAGGTGAAGAAGAGTAACTAGAGCTGAGCTCCAGGGGAAGCAGGAAGAGGCATAATAAGGCTTCAGCTATTTGCACATAAAGTTTAAGGCTTTGTAACTGCTCTGGGCATGGGTTTTTGCAAAATAAACTTCCATCTGCTTTGATATTACAGCTAGGAGAAGCAGGTTCAAATGCCAGCAATTCTCCTGGTACCCTGCAAGCAGAGAGTGTGCTTCAGAAAATGACTTGAATTTAAGCAATCAGTTCTGGCTGATGCCCCAGGAGGAGGAGGGTGTCCCATGAGCTCTCATGTCCTTTGCTGCCTGAGGAAATGTGACTTTGCCTCTAATGGTGCAATCTCTTAAAACATTTAATCCAAGATGCTCTCCAAACCTAATCACTGTGATGCCCAAGTGGTTATAGAGATATCCTTATTATACAACACAGGAAATACCTTCTATTTTTGTTCACTGCTAGTAGGGCGGATTGTGCCATAGTTCTCTGTACAAATGAAGCCTGTTCCTTCATAAAATCTGCCTGCATACTCCCAGCATCAACATCTTCCACTCACTGCCTCTCGCTCACCGCCTCTCACTCAGATGCTGCGGAGTGCCAGCAATCCCTCAATAGTGTCATATCTGTCCTTTTTATTCATTGCAGGGTTTATTTTTAGCCTGAAACAACTGCTTCCTAAAAATGGAGTTCCTAATGACACGGGAGCCGGACACAGCTATGTAAGGTATCCGGGGCTTGGCCTGACAGCTTCTCCTGTCTGTCTCTTTGTTTTGAGCCGAGGACTGCCAAGTTTGCTGCTTCCCACCAGCCTTGAAGAGTTTGGACTGATCATTAGGAAGACAGAAGAAAGAAACTCAGTTCAAGATTCACCCAGGGTCTTTGGTCTTCCTCTTTTTTTTTTTTTTTCCTCCAAATAGAGAAGAAATACATTCACCTGCCTCCCACTCCACCCCAGAGGTTTCTCTATGAAGGCAACTTGCTGGATTCTGGCAGGTTTTTACCTGCTTTTCTGCAGCAAGGCAGAAGAGGGACTAAATTTCCCCACTTATGATGGGAAAGACCGAGTGATTGACCTGAACGAAAAGAACTACAAGCAGGCCCTGAAGAAGTATGACATGCTCTGCCTGCTCTTCCATGAGCCTGTGAGCTCCGACAAGGTCTCCCAGAAGCAGTTCCAGATGACAGAGATGGTCCTGGAGGTAAGCAGCAGTGCATGTCTCAGCTGGGGTCAGTACCAGTGTCCTTTGGAGTTCTGGAAAGGAGCCATGGGAAGGACAGTTCAAGGAGCATGCAGGAGGGCACCCAAAGGTCTGGCTATGTAACCTGAATTTGGTATAGCCCCTGGGTTCTGCAAAGCCCAAGGAGAAGGCCATTACTGTGCTGCTCTGAATTGTTTCCAGGAAAAAAAGCCCCTCTACATCATAGGTCAGAATCCCATGGAAAACCCAATAACGTTTAAATTGCAGAGACATGAACTCGGCTCAGCCGAGCTTTTCTCAACCTCCACACAGATTTGGTTTTGGAGCTTGAAATTTTTAGATCTCTCCTCATTCTAAGCAAGCCAGTTCCCTCCTTGTAATCTGGATTCAGTCCCACTTTCTATCCCGCTAGGAACAATCAGTCAAGCAGTCTTTGCTAAACTGTGCTTCAAAAGGGCGTCCTAGCTCCCCTTCTCTAAAGGTCCCAGTTCCTGCTGCACTAAATCCCCCCCTTTTTTTTTCTCCTGGCACTCAGTTGCCTGCCTGGAGTCAGGCTGTAGCTGTTCGTTAATGCAATCATTCACTTTGGTGCCAGAGAAACGTATTGTTTAATCTTTGGTGTAGGAATGATTAAGTAATCCTCTGTAAAGTAAATCACAGGAAAAACTACAAAGTAGATTCACCACATTCTTTCTTATAATGTAGCTGCTCACACATCAGAAAGCTGGAGTCTTTAGGGGTCCATTTTTCTTCTTAACTAAAAAACATATTTGGAAAGAGAGAGAAAGCTGCAGAAGAAAAACAAATTTTGTATTTCTGAACCAGCAGCACAATGCAGTCTTCCCCTATGAGAGCGGTGACTGAATTTGAAAATATACTTGTTTAGGGTTAGGATTTAGAAAAGCCTAATGCCAAGTAAGCTTAACAAGTAAGATTCAAGAGTTAACCAGATTTTATTGACTTGTCAGGAAACAGTTAATTGCTCCAGGTGAATGACCAACAAGCATTTGGCACAGAAATGAAAGATAACCCTGGAACTCCAGATGAAATGTTTATGCTTGGTTGTATAATTGCACTATTATTTAATATGGTAGTTATTTTGTGCTACATAGATGGCAGGCAGTTACTAATTACATATTTATAGAACTTGACAGAGCCAGGCATGTTGTGGCCTATAGATTTTACTCACAGCAAATATACCCACGCTAACAGTTAACCATATCAAGAGTGCTATAACTACAGTACAATATGAGTTAATGATTTTGTTTGTAGAGTTTGATTCTACAGTGAATACATTAGCTAGGACTATGGAGATTTAGTTTCCAAATGCCTGTGCCATGAGCTTCATACAATACTTTGGGCAAGAGATTATGACTTAAAATTACAGCAGATTTTACATAATTGTAATGTTCCAACTCAGTAATGCTCAGCTGCCAGCTGACCATGCCACACACCTACTGGCGCTTGTGGATTTAGCCTCAAAGTTTCCCAAGCACTTGCAATGCTGATTCAGGGCATGTCTAAGAGCTTCACAGTCTTTCCTGGACTGGGAACCACAACCGCAAATTCACAGCCCAAGCGCAACAGCAGTCTACAGACTGCCACTGCTTTGCCTCAGTCACCCATGGGAACTGGACTGCAAAAGGGTCTCAGAAGTCACTAAGAGACAAAATCCTGGGATAGGACACAACCCAGAAAGGTTCTGGAGCTGCCCATTTCTGGGTTAACTCAGCCATCACAGCACTCATGAAAGTGGACAAACCAGGTTTTAATTGAATCCTTCCCATGATGGAGTACAGAGACTCACCTCCCAGGAGGCAGCTTGACTATCAAGCTGTAACATTATTATGCAGTGGCGATCACTGTCACCTCTCCTGCTGGAGCTCATCCAGCTGTGTGACTTCATACTATCCACCAGACCAGGCAGAAGGAAAGAAATGGCTACAGCAGCTCTGTGGCTGAGGTGAAACTGATTCACCTGGGAGATTAAACACATTACATCAATCTCCCTGGGGGAAGTCGGGAACTGAACATGGGTCTCCCATAATTTAAGCAAATATTTGAATACTGAACTTCTAGGTAGGTAGAGTAACAGGGCCTCTCCTTTCAGCCTCATTTGGAAAAAGAAGGCTGGTGCCCATCAGGAACGCCTTATGTGTCTATTTTCAGGAACGAGTTCAGTGGCTTGAATGCTCAAAGGAAGGTCCTTTGACCCTGAAATAAGGTGTCTAGGAGGCAAGCATGCCAGTCCTTAATATTCCCTGCCAACTGACTTGGGGGTCTCCCAGCCTTGGGAGCTGACTGTGGTAAAATGCCTTTCTGGAGCATCTAACGTTTTTCCACCTTACTGCAGAGAGAATTTACCTGCAGTAAAGAACAGGATATGTTGATTCCACTGCTTGGCACACATTATGTCCTTAGTTTCCCTTCCATAAAGCGGCACTGCCCTCCCTCTTTAGGAATAATAGGGAACCTTCAACCAAAACTCAGACAGGTATGGAGCTAGGCAAAGATCTGAACTGGGTCATGAAGGGTTGTCTTGATGAATGTGAGTGACTGCATGCACACAGAAGAATGAACTTAATGAACGTTAAGTCCAAAAAGCCCCAAAAGAGTCCACCCTTTCTGTTTCTCCCATATACATCAAGTCATTGTAATTATAAATTATAAATAATTTATGATTATAAATATAGAATGTCAAGATCAAAAACATCAAGAAACATCACAGACACCAAAAAAAAGAACAAGGAGTTTCCGCAAATTTGCTAGTAGAAACTCCTAGATGTGCTCAGATAGTAGATGGCATGGCATGTTGCAGAGGCAAGGAAAAGTCCCAGCAGTGCCTGACATTCAGCTCCAGAACCAACGACTGGTTTAGGCTTCATTATGTGATAAAAGCCATCGCTACAAAGCACCCAAGTAAGGGAAAATGCACTAAGAAAGATACCCCCTCCACTCCATGAAAAGTTATCCCTTGACCATGAGGCAATACTTCCCCCGAAATGTGTGTAACTCACAGTCAGGAACAAGCACACACTGGGGCTTCTCCCACAACTAAGAAACCCATGAGGCTCTTATAAGGGTTCTCTGACATCTAACAAGCATTGAGCTCATGTAGCAACATTTCCTTCAATCAGGGCACTTCAGTCCCTTCTTTTCATTCCAGCTGTTCATGAAGCTTGCAAGAACTTAATTATATTTGAAACTCCTGTCTCTGTAAGATTCAGCTGAAATGGGCCAATACCTTGAAAAATTTTTAGAGGAGGTAACTGACAGACTAGAGAAAGAGAGGGCACATAGAACAAGAAGGGTAGAAATCAATCTAAAAACCAGACATCCCATCAGTAAAATTAAGCACGTATATAAGGACTCTGTCAAACCAAAACTACAAAAAGCAGAGTGAGGAGAAATAATGTTTCCCCCAGAAGCCATAACTCAGCTTTTGGGAAGACTTGGCACAGCCTGACACCACGCAGGCCTGACCTGATGAGCTTCAGGCCTATGAGAGACTTGCTTGAGAAAAGCATGTGCTCAAGCCTAAATATGCCATTCTTTTGTTAAAACAGCAAAAGTTTCCTCCAAGTCTTTCCCACACCAAAAGTCTGGCCTGCTGGACTGCCACTGTCAAAAGCACGGGTTGTACACCAGAGATTCCCAGAAAAGGGATGCTGCCACTAACTTGACATTATAATGGATAGCTCACAGTCTCCTGTTCCCCATGCCCATGTATATTGGCATCCACCATTGGATTTCCACACAGGCTGAGGTCTCTTTCCCATTTAAGAAGGGAATGAGTTCCTGCCAAGGCAACAAGCCTTCCTCCCAGACAAAGATCAGCAGGGAGCACCCCAGCAGCTGCTGCCACTGCCTCGGCTATGCTGCCTGGTGAGGACAAGGCATTAGGACACTTGTGTGCAGCAAAAGTAGCTTCTTGCACCAGCCTTTGCACAGGGCAACAACTCCAAGGATGGCACTGCCAGCCCTTCAGGCGCTGGTGGAAAATCTGGGAGCTGGTAAGGAAAACGTTTGGAGATTATCCATACTGGGTAGCATGGAGAGACTCTAAAACAGCAACTCCAAGACAAGACAGCATAGCTTACACAAGGGGAGGCTGCTGCACAGCTCAGAGGAGAGGGTAATTTTCCTGTGCTCTCCCTTCCCCCAACTCTCCACTCTGCCCCACCAGCAACAGAACAGCAACCACAGGGCAATGCAAGAGGTTAATCTAGGCAGTCCCGGAGCTGTCAGTAGCTATTCCTACTTGGTGGCAATGTCTACAAGATCCCTGCAGGCCCTGCAAAGTGAGCACACTGGAGCAGCAAATGATACAGCCAGACACAAGACTTTGCTGTGTTTCTCATGCTGAAGCAGTCTCAGCTTTACTTGAAAACCAGTAAAAAATGAGACCAAATCAGGGAAGCTGAAAAGAGTCTGTTCTACTTCTTCTGTCCTTCGTAGCTCTCCTACCCCAATTCTTCTTGTCTCATGCCACAATTTCCTTAAAAAAAAGGATCAGGTCTTTTAATGCAAGTGTCCTTAGGCTGAAATTTCAGGGAAAACTACCATAGCACAAACCAGTTTGGTTAGATGTTAGAAAAGGACATGGTGGTCCCTTTTCCAGATCAGCTTCAGGATCAGAGGTTGGTCTCTAGCAAAAAGTGACAGAGAGTGTGAAATTCCACAATATACTTGAGCAATTCTGTAATAAACTACACAAGGAAAATATCTCCTGCAGACTTTGGGATAGAAGTCCATGAGATCACATTGCATCTCCCTCCTACTGGCCAAGCATTACCACTGGCTACTTGTGGTGGGAGGAGGAAAGACAGACTTTCAATTCAGCAAAAGAACAGGGTTAAAGTGGGGCTAAGGTCTAGCTACCAGTTCACTTGAGGGCAATGATTTATTTTCAGGAGTTCAAGTCTCTGCAGCTCCTCTTGTGAGCTCCAGCTCAGGATGAAAAAGTTGGTGCAAGATCAGCTGTTTTTCAGGTACTTCTG